GTTTTAATTTATTACTATAAAAGTAAGTCAACCATTTATTTGTAAGTCAAAATTACTATTTATGAAATTTTCAACAACATTTTTATGAAATTTGTTATAAACAAAAGCCCAAAGAATCCGATCATATTGTGAAGGTTGTTACAAAAAAAAAATATGCTAAAAAATTCGAACTCCTTACCAAATTTTAAGCCAGAGATTGTGTAAATAATTATGATTTTTTTTTAAAAAAAAAAAAGTTCAAAGAATCCGATCATATTGTGAAGGTTGTTACAAAAAGAATGACGCCAACAAATTTGAACCCCTTACAAAAGTTGGCCAGAGATTTTGTATTAATATTTATGAAATTTGTTATAAAAAAAAGCCCAAAAAATTCGATCATATTGTGAAGGTTGTTAAAAAAAATGCTCAAAAATTCGAACCCTTACCAAATTTTTGGCTAAAAGATCTACCAAAATTGCTAGAGATTTTGTGTAAATAATTATGAAATTTGTTACAGAGAAAGAAACCCAAAGAATCCGATCATATTGTGAAGGTTGTTACAAAAAAGAAATGCTCAAAAATTCGAACCCCTTACAAATTTTTGTTGAGCCAAGCAACAACAGCCGGACTAATCTCTTTATTATCCACTTCAACCGCGTTGAGCCACAACAAATCGATGTGCTTGTCTCCGATCTCAACCCAGAGCCAACATTAAGCCGACGCTGACAACATCAAACCGTCACCAAACTCGCTAAACTGACAGAACAACCTCACTTTAGCCGATCGCTAGACCGGCATGCTCATTAACGACTTTACTAGCAGACTTATAATTTATTAGCAGACGAGCCCAGTCTCACCGGACCAATTCATCGTTCGCTCGCCGTTGAGCCTCGACTCCGGCTGAGACGATGTCCCCATTTTCTCGCCGATTGAGTCTTGACTCCGGCTGAGCCAACGTCCCTATTTTGCTCGCCGTTGAGCCTGGACTCCGGCTGAGACGACGTCCCTATTTTGCTCGCCGTTGAGCCTCGACTCCGGCTGAGATGACGTCCCCATTTTTTGGCCGTTGAGCCTCGACTTCGGCTGAGCTGACGTCGATACATTTTCTCGCCGTTGAGCCTCGTCTCTGGCTGAGCCGACGTTCACATTTTCCTGTCGTCGAGCCTCTGCTCCAGTGCAAAATAAAAATCCGTTTCTCGCCGTTGAGCCTCGTCTCCGGCTGAGCCGACGTTCACATTTTCCTGCCGTCGAGCCTCTGCTCCGGTGCAAAATAAAAATCCGAGGTAGACAAAAAGACTCGATCCGAGTAAGAAAAAAGTCCCGTATTTATCAAAAATCCGAGGTAGACAAAAAGACTCGGTCCGGGCAAGAAAAAAGTCCTGGTACTTATCAAAAATCCAAGGTAGACAAAAAGACTCGGTCCGAGCAAGAAAACAGTCTCGGTATCTCTCAAACACAATCCCAAACATATCAAATCTCGGTCCAACGATGATTTGATCGGACAACAAATAGCGCCGACTTTCCAAAATATGACATCAGACTCCGAAAAAGGACTCAGACTCGACGAAATATCGAGGTGACATCGTTTACCGCGCATTAGTTATTTACCGCACGTGCTCATTATATATTCATACATTCATCACATATGCGCATCATGCATACATTTTGATATAAAGTTTTTGTTCCAAACCCTGAAATTGGTTTGGCAAGGCTAACGCCCTACAAAATTACATCAGAGATCGGGAACACACTGCCCGACCAAGAAATAGTGAAATAAAAATTAGACTAATGACCGGATACCGTATTATCCGACCAGGTCCACATTGTGAAGAAAAATAATCACAAATACAAAAGTCAAAAATCGCGCCATCTCAATGCGACAAAATAGCAAATCCGGCAACAATTCTGGGGGCCCAAATACCCACGCAAATCCATATTATTATTACCATTACAGAACCAAATCCATCAGACGCTTCACATTACATACAGAAATGCAAAAGAGGGGTACCAAATTACCCAGATTAAGCCATTCAGACCCCCATTCACATAGCAATTTCAAAAGAGTTGACTATCCACGCAGCCGACTCAATTTATCAAGAATAAAGAACACGATTAACGTCAACACGTCAGGTCCAAATCTGAAAACAACTAACCAAACGCCTGCGGGTCCCAAAGTACCCGGTCAACATCAATGCATCATTTATCGCAGCCAAAATTTATTACAACATGTGACTTCAGAACAATTCTATTCAGAACATGTCCTAAAGTCAGGGGCCTATCTATTGACATCAAATTTTGTCTTCGCCTGTTAACATAGTACACGTGGATATATATATATATATATATATATATTAAATAAATATAAAAATAGCAGGTTATTCGATATATTTATTATTATTAAATAAGTCCCCAAAAAGTCAAGATAGTCAAGATGGTCCGTATTCGAGCCAGCCGAATTCAGCGTCATCAGACCAACCCGGATATCATAAAGAGGCCGCCCCGACAGACACAATCATTGCAGACAAGACGAATATCGATCAAAGTCATTATTTATTCCGTCATTTATTTATTATTGTCGGGCCCTACGCGGTCTCATTTTGATTTTTTTGTCTTAGTCAAATATTGTAAAGGCCCAACATATAAGGGCCCATTAGACGAATATATATATCCCTGATGATGGACATCAGACAGAAAACTCTGAGGGGGCCTTACTTCTTTCTTTCTCTCTCCGAAGCTTTTCCTTCCTCCTAAGAAAACAAAAGACAGAGATTCATATTTTTTGATTTCCCTCCAATTTTCTTGATTTATTCATAAAAATACACAAAATATTCGATCTATACAAACAATTCTGAACCCCCCTATGTTGTTACAAATTCATACGACAACATATGACATCAAATGAAAATTATGTAATTTTCTTTAAAAAAAAAGATATGAAATGTGTTGTATATTGTGTTTGAAATATAAAAAACTTGTATTTAAAAAAACATTGAATCTATTAATAAAAAAAGGATACAAAATCGGCATGAGGATATCCGTAAGAAATATGAAATTGCACGTTATTTCATAATAGATCTGATAAACTAATAAAAAAAAGATGGGATAAATATGTTTTTACATATAAAATTGTTTTTTTCCCAAAAGAAAATAAGATACCAAATTCAATTAAATATGCACAAATTATGTATGGGATATCAATTGATTTGAATTTAATTTATCAAAATTATTTGATTTGTTTACTAAAAATGTACTAATACGTTTTTTATTATGTGTATCACATTCAAATCTCACATTTTTAAAATTCTAATGCTTTCCAATTTTATGGGATATTTATTGATTTGAGTTTTGAAAACCTAAAAATCTTTAATTTAAAGAGATTCACATGAATTTAGGTAGAAAATAATAAGTGTATCAATTAGTTACCAAATAAAATGGCTTTGGTAATATACAATCCAAATATTCAATTTTTGAACCATTTATCACGTGTGTGTTTTAATTTGTTACGATAAAAGTAAGTTAGCCATTTATTTTTAAGTCAAAATTACTATTTATGTAATTTTCCAACAACATTTTTATGAAATTTGTTATAAACAAAAAGCCCAATGAATCCAATCATATTGTGAAGGTTGCTATAAAAAAAAATATGCTAAAAAATTCGAACCCCTTACCAAATTTTCTGTCAAAGATTGTGTAAATAATTATGATTTTTTTTTTTTAAAAAGTCCAAAGAGTCCGATCATATTGTGAAGGTTGTTACAAAAAGAATGACGCCAACAAATTCGAACCTCTTACAAAATTCGGCCAGAGATTTTGTATAAATATTTATGAAATTCGTTATAAAAAAAGCCCAAAAATCCGATCATAATGTTAAGGTTGTTAAAAAAAATGTTAAAATATTCGAACCCTTTACCAAATTTTCAGCTAAAAGATTTACCAAAATTGCTAGAGATTTTGTGTAAATAATTATGAAATTTGTTATAGAGAAAGAAACCCAAAGAATCCGATCATATTGTGAAGGTTGTTACAAAAAAAAATGCTCAAAAATTCGAACCCCTTACCAAATTTTCGTTTAAAAGGTTTACCAAAATTCTTAAAAATTATTATGACATGTGGGCTGTAGAATATTACTTATATTGGTTAGTTAACACTTTATTTTTGAAGTCAAAGTTTCTATTTAAGTATTTTTTTCCAACAACCTCTTTGTATTACTATAGATTTTGCATACAATTAGGATATCTTTAATTTCATCAAAGTGATACTAACTTTATAATTAGTAATAAATAACTAAATAATTAACATTGTATCTTTACTCGTTAATAATTTTGATAGATAGAAATTTATAGAGAAAAAACATCTGTCTATACCTATATCTACACTTACAAAAATAGATATCAATAAATAGTATGCTCAATTTGTTGTCTATTTTCGGTTAGCAAATGAAAGATATTAATGATGCTCAACATAATTTGGTGGTCTACATCCCATGTTAAGTGGGTGCTACTTCATCAAATCTAATGGTCACTGTGAGCTTTCAATATCCAAGGGTCTCAAATAAAATAACGGAAGCACTCCCCTTTGTTATAATTCATTTTCGAATTTCATTTTGTTATTCGATCCCCATTGAATTTAGACATTGCCAAAACTCGGGCCGGATCGCTGGGCTAAAAAACACTAACCCTGAACCGGCACGGACCTATACTCGTGCCGGGTCCGTGTCCGGTCCGGGCCAGGTCCGGGTCGGGTCCGAACTTTTTAAAAAAAAGTATAAAAAAATAACAAAAAAATTAAAAAGAAGGGTCATCGATCCGGCCCGGCCCTGACCCTCCGGCCGAGTCATGAAACGAATGACCCTTACACGGCCCTTCTGAAATCCGGGCCGGTCCTGGACCCGTGGTCAACGGGTTTGATCGGGTCGGGTCATGGCCGGGTCGGCGGGCCGGGCGACCCTTTGGCCATGTCTAATTGAATTCATTCGGAGAAAACCCTAAGTTTCAAACACACAATTCGATGTCCTCCGCCAGTCCTCTTCTGGATCAATCACCTCCACCTCCACCTCCTAAAAGGATACGTCTGGATCAATCAGGGTCATCATCAGTTAATCCTTTTAAGACGAAAGTTTGTCTCGTCTTTCGCTGCTCTGGGTATGATGAGCCAGACAAGTATTTCCTCGAGATATTGGTTCTGGATTTATTAAAAGATAAGGACGCTGACATCATCTCCGGCGCCGGCGAGGAGTTCAAACCGGTAAAACCCACGTTTCGTCTCTTCCCTGAGTGTTTCCCGGCCGATACTTCCTGCGTCGTGGGATCCACCCTCTACCTGTTTGACGGAATTTTTGGTGGAGTATATTCTCGTTCGGAAGCTCATAGGTCCTCAGTTGCTACTGTTGATTTATCTCAATACACTGATGATGATTTTACTTTGGATTTAAAGGCACCTGCACTGAAAATATCCCCTCATGTCCTGCACCCCAAGTGCCTCCCTATGGCCGTTCCCACTTCCGATGGTAAAATCTTAGTTTTCTCCAGATATATCGAGCTTGATCGTAAAGCAGTGAACGTGGATTTCGAGCTGTTTGATCCTATAACTTGTGGTTCTTGCCGTGAGCTGCCCCAGTTAGGTCTTAATGAGAAGAGGTTTCGGGTCCTAGGATATACACTACATGAGCCTACACATACTTTTTTTCTCCAAACAGAAGAAGGAGACTTCTGTTTGGATCTTGCTGGTGGAGAAAGATGGGCACGAGTTGATGGATTATTCGGCATCCGTAATCTTCCTTGCAAAGGTCCCCTCTCCATTACTAGAGATGCTGAATTTTGCCTCACTGCTGCTGGCATCTATGATTTGAAGTCCAAAGATACTAAATGCCGCTTGTGTAGTTGGTTTGTTTTCGAGCATCCGCCAACTTTTGGGCCGGGATTTCGGGCTGCTGCCCCCCTTGACCATGGTGATTCTGGAGCTTTGCATTTCTGCCTTTTACAGACGAAGCTTAACACGAAGCGAATATATTATGAGACTATCGATGCACAGAACGAAAGCCTCACGCACCCTCAGCTCATTATACGCGTATTGCACGCTAATCTTAAAAAACTGAGGGATGCTTATGAATCCGATAGTAAAACCAGAAGCAGCCACACTACCGGCCTCGACATTCTCACTTCATTGAAGTTTGTCTTAAGTGCCCATCGATATTGGTCCTTCCTTGTTGAGAACATGTCACCCTTTTGACGACATCCGGCTGCCGCCAATCACAGTGTTTGACGACATCCGGCTGCCACCAATCATTCAGCTTGGAGCTTCTTCATTGTGCTTGTGATGTTGTTTTATGCAATATTTTGAGATTATTTTTTGTTCTGTTGCATTTAAGTGGTAGCCCAGCTTTTAATTTCCTTGGGTTTGCAGTGAATTAGTTGTGTTGTTAAGTACACTGGTGGAAATGATGTATTAGCAAGGGTTTCGTGCGCTGGGGTATATTTAAATTTATAATTTCTTCGTCCTGTTGGTATACGGTGAGCAGTTTTGTGTTAACGCTGGCTAACAGGACGAAGATTACTTATGGCCCTTATTTTCTTCCTTTTAGCCAGCTTTTTAGGATCAGATTGGTAATTTACTTATGTCATAAATCACGACTTTTTCTCACTTATGCACGTCTTCACGTCTTACTGCTCCTCTCAATGACTGGGAAGACCAATTTTTTATTTTTTATTTTTTATTTTTTTTTTTATTTATTTATTTTTTTTTTATGCATCTACACATTCACCCATTTTAAGTTTCACTTAATTCTGAAATGTTAAACATCATTTTAATGTCATATCCTTATTTTCCTCAGTATTGTCTAGAAAATCCTTATTTTTTGTTCATGTCAGGTGTGTTAGCGCCGAAGTCTGGTGTGATTTGAACGTCTGGTGTGATTTGAGGATCAGCTACGATAATCTTTTGGGCGTGACGAGTTATTTGATATTTGAAAAAATAAGAAATAAATTTAAAGACTGTTGTTTGATAAAATGTATCATTCATGCATCCATAGAGAAAACCGTATCTTACTGATTGGAAATGACAGATTATTTCGATGATTATAATGACCGATCCTGTTATAGACTCACCTTTAGCATTGTTTTGTTGTATTTGTGGCAGATATTATAAATTAAG